CCCACAACTCGCACCAAATTTCAGGCCGTGTAGATAGGCAAGCATAGCCTATATACAAATCATTTAGTAAGCAGAAATCCGAAATTTACCTTAACATATCAAGTTAGAGGAAGATGCGACTGAATTGATGCTTGAAGAATGCGCTTCCAGCAGCCATGATAAACAGTTGGCGGTTAAAGTTGTCTATGCACTATTTGATTTGACGAAAGTCACGAGACCTATTACTCTCTATCCAATCACGTTGATGGATAAAAATAAAATTAAAATAAGCATGTAACGACCACAAACGGAGGAAAATAGGAGTAAAAGTACCAATACATCACTTAAAATGTACTCAAGTAAAAGTAAAAGTACACCATTTTTAAACTACTCAAAAAAGTACAATTACTGATAAAAACTACTTAATTACTGTAACGTGAGTATTTGTAATTCGTTACTTCACACCCCTGGTGCCCACCAACTTGCTTTGGGCCTCTTGAATTTGGAGATGACTGTATACTATATATGTTCAAATGGATGCATTTAATCCAAATAATGATAGCTTCTAGGACACTCCTGTAAATAGGGCTGTGCAAATAATCGAATGCGATTTTCACTGCGACACTGACAAGCTACACAAAATCGCGTTCATAATCGCAGACGATTCATTGCTTGTCAGTGAACTACGGCTCTGTGTAGTAAATGCCGCTCCATCTGAAAGCACGTGCTGGAGATTTACTACTAATCACAGAAGCGGCTTTACTGACGAGATGCGCATGAAAATCGCATTCGATTTTTTTGCACAGCCCTATTGAGGATGTATTTTAAACGACGAAGAATCAGCTACAAATCTTTTATCCCTGTCATTCATAACTGGACTTGTCGTTCATAAGTGTATTAACTTTGCTAGCTAATTATATAAATAACAAGTGTGTAGGGAGCAGTGAACACTGCGTAGGGACCCTGTTAATCAGAAAACAGTCAGAAAATACATCTTGAACAACTGATGCGACAGATGGCAAACATTGTAATTTACTGATCACAGTACCTGTATCATTTACACAATAAACAGTCTCAATAAGATGATGGCTGCTTGCACACAACATTAGTCACATCTCTGAGCGGACCGGCCTAATACCGCTAATGAAAGTCTCTGCATACCCACACAGACAGCTGAGGCATTTTTAATACTTTTGAAAAATGGGCTCATCACTGAGAAAGATTGCTCTCTACACACTGTTCAAGAAAAATTACACAAAAAAATCATCATGATTTATGTGACCAAAACCACAGTCAAGAATTTTGAAAAAGGCTGTTTTGAATCATCAGTCAAAACTCTTCTGACTCTCCTTTAATCCTCTCTAAACCCTATTAACATAAAGGAGTGTTTATTAAGTTGTCTTGAGAAAGCCAACTTACTGATATTGTATTTAATCTTCTTCTTCTTCTTCTTCTTTTCTTCTTCTTCTTTTCTTCTTCTTCTGATTCTGACCAAAAATTTAAACAGTATCTCCTCCTAGAGCTTTAAAGCTAGAGCCACCAAACTCGGCCCAGACCTTCAGACTGTTCTGACTCGGGTTGCTATATCTTTTCAGACTGATCCGACTTAGTTTTCCTAAAAATGACGATTAAAACTGGGAAAAATCCCATAGACTTCCATTGAACAGTCTTGGCTGATCTGAACATTCCGTCAAACTCCAACTGTCAAAATTCAAATTTAAACACACTGACCCAATTAAAGTGCATACCATGTACTATTTCTAAGCCATTTAAACTCATTCAAACTCATTTAATCTATCTATCTATCTATCTCTATCTATCTATCTATCTATCTATCTATCTATCTATTATCTGACTATTTCTATCTATCTATCTATCTTCATAGCAACACTCTAGCAACTATCCAAAACAACCTAGCAACCACCCCGGGTACCCTAGCAACCGCATAGCAGCACCTTAGCAACCACCCCGGGTACCCTAGCAACCGCATAGCAACACTTTAGCAACCACCCCGGGTACCCTAGCAACCTCATAGCAATACCCTAGCAACCACCCTGAGTACCCTAGCAACCGCATAGCAACACCTTAGCAACCACCCAGGGTACCCTAGCAACCTCATAGCAATACCCTATCAACCACCCCGAGTACCCTAGCGACCGCATAGAAACACCTTAGCAACCACCCAGGGTACCCTAGCAACCGCATAGCATCACCTTAGCAACCACCCCGAGCACCCTAACAACCGCATAGCAACACCCTAGCAACCACCCCGAGTACCTTAAAGACCACATAGCAAC